TTCAAAATCTGGTGAAATGTCATCGTTCTGTTACAAACTCTCCAGACATTTTGCAAATTCTTGAAAAAAGAAAACCTGGCAAATAGAGTCAGGAGGGTGAAACTCTGAGCCATTTCCACTCTATAAAAAGCAAATCTACAATAAAACAGGATACCAAACAATCCCGTTAAAAATAAAACTTTAGCTTCTGGTTGGTTAAAATCTGGAGCAATTCAAACCAAAGAAGATGAATGTTGAAACGCATCTATTGAGAAGGAAGTCCAACACTAACGCTGTGTTTCTAGGGGGTTCACCGGCCACGTCTATTATTTAGATTTAACCTAAAACGTCTACAGAGAACTTTAAGGTGTGTATTGCTATTTGTTAGATCTTCTGTTTGCCTTTAAAATACTTTATGGATTTAAAAGAATTAGTAAATTAAACAAGTGAATTGCTGAAATGCCAGAAGGAGGAGGGCAATAAGCCTGTATAATAATCCTGCTATAATAAAAAAAATATTACAAAGCTGTCATATGTGGACACTGTATATATTGTATATATCCCATGCATTGAGCAGATGAAACGAGTAGATTTCTACACTGAAAGATCAATAAATTTGTATTTGTTTTTAAGTCAATGAGTCGATGCAATCAACTGGTTTTCCATTGATAGAAAACTTTAAATCAAATTGACTGGATGATCTGGTTGAACTGTAAAGTGCCTTGAGACGACATGTGTTGTGAATTTATATCTATATAAATAAACTGAATTGAACTGAGTTGAATTAAATAAAGTCAATCAATCAATAGTTGAATCTACATTTGACTCTTTAGCCATTAGCTAGCTCTTCCTATGATGGAAATCACTAAAAGGTCTTAGATTAATGTTCAGAATTTCTTCCATGTATGATTAGTATTTTCTTTTCTCCTGCACTGTATTTGTCAACATTTGGCATTTTGCTTGAACTTCTCTGTCAAACTTTCAGAATATGAAGCACAAAGCTCTTTACCAACAGCTGCACAAGAACAATAAACCAAAGACATCTTCAGAACCGGCCGTTCTGCATCTGGACAGGCTTCAGATAAAAGCCCCCAGTGGAGGACTGTATACAAGCCTCCAATCAAAAAACGATCTGGTGATCTCCATTGGAGGTTTTTACTTGAAGAAACATTGAAAATGTGTTCCATGTTTTTATGGAATGCACAAGACTAAAGGCCATTTTTAGCCGTTTAATTCATGTTTTTAGTGTTTTTGGAACGGGTTTTACAAATGCTCTGTTTATGGGAGGAGTTTTCCAGAACAGAAGAAACAAGCTAAAGGCCCGACTTTTACATTTTATATTCTGTGAAGCAGAGATGGCCGTCTACGTCTCTGCAGAGACAGACTGCAGGAGGGAGCTCACCTTGATGCCGTGGATCTGTGGAAGTGCAACTTTAAAGGAGTCATAGAATGCAAAACAGAATTTCCATTTTGATAGATGAATAACGATAGTTCAGGGGGTGAAATGGACGTACAGAGAAGTTCAAACCACATCAACACCTCCTGAAAATCTCACAATTCTAAACCATAAACCGGCGAATCTAAACGAAGCACCACACTGACAATTAGGGCATGTTGCCTTATTTGCTTCTGGCCTTTACTGTTGTCACCCCCCGACATTGACATACAGAGCAATTTCAATTTGTTGGGGCGCTGACTGGACCAGACCAGGCATTCGTACCGAGCCGTCAGCTCTAGGGCTGGTCCGGGAACCCCAGCAGAAGAGGGCAGGGAGCCAGTCTGGGACGGTATGCATCCCCCCCCACCTACCTTACCGTGCAGGCGGGGGAAGCAAGGGGTCGCCGGTGTACAGGCTACCATCACTGGGTCGGGTTCGGTCGCTCTGTCCCCCGCTGGCCCCCTGTCCCCTTCCCCCATAGTTCCCGGACCAGCCCTAGAGCTGACGGCTCGGTTCTGCAGCACTGTAGGCGACCAAAATCCCAAATGATTTTGAAATTCCCCCGACATTTCTTTAGGTCTGAAAAGTCGGAAAAAGAGGCCGTCTGGTCACCCTACCATATCAACAATCTGATGTTTCAGTGAGTGAGTGCTTGTTGCTATGATGCATCTTTGCTCAGCAGCTTGGCTCGTTGTAAACCAACCAATCAGAGCACAGCTCTTCTAATTATTCATACAATAAAAGGAAGAAAACCTGTCGTTTCATTCTAGGGCTTTTAACCAGGCTGCATTAGGGCTCATAGAACAGCTAATATGCCATTTTCAGCCCAACCAATGTTACACACCCTATTCAGAGACCTAAAGGACCAAATACCCCATAGAATCATTCTATCACCCCTTTGAAACAAGAATAAGGCTGGTTTCACTTCCACAGAACATGGAGAATTTTGTTCAGCTGTGGAGTTTTAACAACATTTTATTTACTCCGTCAGATGATGAAGAACCACGATTTAACAAGCTCCTCATTTCATGATTTTCAGCCAAAACTTGCTTTTATGATTTTTAACTAACTTTGTTTTGCATCAATTGATTCTATTGTTTGGATTGTGTAAATAAAGGGATGTTAAAGGTGAAAAAGATTCTATGTATCCTGTTGTTGTGTGAATCAGTGAGCTGCTGGCTGTGCAGCAGGTTTCCTGCTGAAAGCATCCAGGACTGAAGCAGCTGAGCAGAAGCATTTCTTACCGGTCAGACACATGTCAGTAGAAACCCTGTCAATGAGCAGGACATCAGAGCAGGCCTCCTCACATGGCTCTATGAAGAAGCTTTCTGCTGTGGTGAACCTGCAACACATCAACAACAATGTTTGGGATTCAGTCCCACAGCTGGAGGAGTAGGAACTGTTTCAGACAACATAGTGAGCAGCTGTTGGTTCCCTCTGCTTGGACTGCAGGAACCCATCAGCTCCCAGAACCTTCTGCTCTACTGGTGACTTTAAACAGAAACAACCTGTAGAAACCAAACTTTCTCCGGTGTCAGCTGTTCCGTTAGCCTTGCAGGAAACCCCCCATTTCTAACCACAGTGAGGCCAGCAGAGCCGGTACCGACCCGGTGAGGCCCCCCCAGAGCCCCCCGACCGCCTGACTCACCACGGACACACAGTGAACTCACTACACATACTTACAAGCGGAAAGTGCCAGAGCTAGCCATCTTCTTTCTCCTGGTTAACCTCAGTGACGTGTCCTCCTCTTCTTCTTCTTCTTTCATTTCATTCTTCTTCTCTTCTTCTTCTTGTGCTTTATGGTGGTTTGCAAACAACTTTTTGGTGCATTACTGCCACCAACTGAAATGGAGGGTGAATCGTGAATAAAGTAATTCAATATCCAGTAAACTAAAAAAAATAAAATATAATAAATAAATCCTCTTAAACAAATTTGTCTTTTAACAAAGTTCAATAATAAGGAAAAACTATGGAAGCCCGTTTCCGCCACTTTGTAAAAAAAAGACAAAAATATATCTCATTATATTGAGTTAGCGTCTCATTATAATGAAAAAAAATCTCTCTCATTATTATGAGATCTTTTTTTTTTCTTTTTTTACAGAGTGGCGGAAATGGGCTTCCATAAAAAACCCTTAGATTTAGAATCCAAGTTTAAAATGTATTTTAAGTTTAACTTTAATTCATTGACTTGCAATCTGTTTATTAATTAATTTATCTGATTGACATATTTAGTGCCAAACAGTATAATGTGCTTCACTGTTTCTGCTTGAAAACAAAAATCATCCTTCGCTGTATCATGTTTCCCTATTTTAAACAATGTGCTGTTTAAACCTGGATGGCCAAACCATAACCTTCATATCATCTTTTTCTCCTTTCTATTCCTTTCTGTTTTTCTAATAAAGCCAAGTTTCTTTTAATATTATACAACAATCTACCAGTTATTTCTTCTTCCCACTGTTTCTGCCATCTTGATCTAATCCTTTCCTTAATTACTGATTTTATTTAAACTTTACTAAATTGACTTATTATATCAATTAAACTACCATAAGTTTACTTGCTTGTTTTGCACATCTATCAGCCATCTCATTCCCTTCTATTCCATATGAGAAGGAATCCAAATAAAATATTATTTTTATTATTCTATTAATCACATTGCTTGAATTCTAAATAATAATTGCTGAATTTCTGCTAATATATCAGGTCTGCTGTCTGAGTGACTGTGTTTAAATGAAAATAACGCTGAACTAGAATCAGAGAAAACTATGCTTCTTAATGGACGGATTTCTTCATTCCCTTCCAAGGCCTACATGATCCCAAACATTTCTCCTGTGTAGACTCAAACTCCGTCACTGACTCTCTTACTTGATTAAATATAAAATTCTGCAACTACAAACGAAACACCATTCTTATTATTTGGATCTTTTGAAGCTCCGTAAAATTTTAACAAACCCATCATATTTCTCATCTAAATATTGCTGAACCATATTTAAATCCGAGATATTCTCCTTGTTTTTCCGTTTAAACAGCAAAGTTAAATCAGTAACTATATTAGGCAACAATGATGGCTGAATTAATGACCTAATAACTGTTTTACTGACATTTATATGAGATAATTCTAGATCTTTTATAATATTATCTGCTGACCATCCAAAGGAATTTAATTTCTTCTTTCCTTTTTTCCAACATGGTTTTAAAATATATTGACATGGATGAGTTTCACAATGATTCTTTACCTGAAACCAATAAGTAGAAAGTAATTGTAATGTCCTCCACTGTAGTGGCATTTCTACCTGTAATGCTGATGTTGTTCTTATGTGCATAATCTCAATGCTTGATACAGAACAATATCCAATTTAAGTAATGACTCTAATGCTGAACCAAAAGCACTACATCCATAATAAAACCGGACCTAATTAAACCTGTATAAACTGATTTCAATGCTTTCCGCTCAGCTCCTCACTCATTCGCAATCAAACATCTCATAACATTTAGAACTCTTTTACATTTATCAATCATCTTTTTAATTAGAACTTTCCAACTACGTCTTTCATCCAACCATATGCCCAAAAATTTAAATAGCTTTACCCCTTCTAAGTCATAAATTTTTATCTTTATATCTTCAGAAACTTTTTTCTTAGTAAAAAACAAAACTTTTGTTTTATCTACAGAGATCTTGAATCCCCATCTAAAGGACCAGTCTTCTATTTTATGAATGGCTTCTTCAACCTTTTTTAACTAAGAAATCACATTTTTTTACCTCTTTTCCAAACTGCTCCATCATCAGCAAATAAAGAAACTCCCATTTCATTCTCAACATCTTCAAACATATCATTAATCATTATAGAAAATCATAATGGACTAACTATGCTTCCTTGGGGAATACCATTTTCAGGATAAATATTTCCTGAAAATTGTTTTCCTATTCTTACTTGAACATTGAACCGGCGATTCCCATCTTCTTTAATTGTATCATAAAACCTTCCTTCCACCTCATATCATAACCGAAGTCAAAGAAAACAGCTACCATATTGTCTGTATTAACCTGTGCTCCCCTAATTTCATGTTCCACGTATAGAACAGGATCCATGTTATTTCTACCTTTTCTGAATCCACTTTGAAATTTGGATAAATATTTTATCTTTTCTCCCTGGGTTTGATCTTTCTTCAACTGACTTTAAAATAGGAATAATAATTGTTTTTTTCCAAGCTTTAGGTAAATGACACTCTTCCCATATCTTGTTTTAAAAATCCAATAAAACACTTTTAGAAGAATAACTTAACTGATTTATCATAATCTATGAAATTTGATCTTTACCTGGAGATGAATTATTGGATTTCTCTAAAACATTCTTCAGTTCTACAAAAGAAAAAGGAACATTTAATAAGTCACTACTGTTTACACTTTTAACTAATAATTGACTGTTTTCATTAATTGTGCATTCTCTTTCCCTTATTTCTTTTTCAGTTAGATTATTTAAGCTGTGAATTTTAGCAAACTTCTCCACTAACATCTCTGCTTTCTGCTCCTCTGTCACAGCATATATATTTAAATCTTTCAGAACTGGATATCCACATTCTCTCTTAATTCCATTCATTCTTTTTATCATAACCCAGATATTTGAAATTTTAGTTTCTCTACCAACTGAATAATAAAAAGATTGCCAGTAAATCCTTTTTGCAAATTTTACAGATCTTTTGACAAGAGCTTGTGATCTTTTATATTCAATAAACAACTGAAAATTCAGATTTTTCTTTAACATTCGAAATGCTTTATTTCAAGAGTTCATTCATATTTTCTTCTTCCCGCTTCCTTTTTTCCATTGGATAGATTGTTGAGTTGCAACTAATATAGCTTCACAAACAGAAACATTTATGTTATCAACATCTGAATTAATATGAACCTTTTGCATTTCTACTTCGCTAATTCTCTTATATTTTTCCAATCAGCATTTGCAAAAAAACCTTAAATATAACTTTGTTCTACCTCAAAGCCCACTTTTATTAGTATTGGATAATGATCACTTCCTATGGTTTAGTATTTTCAAACTTTCCAATTACTGATTCCTGCAATATCTTTAGACATAATGTAAGATCTGTTGCTGATTCTGATCCGTTGCTAATATTAATTCTGGTACTTCCATCATTAATACAAACCTGATCCTTTATATCCATTATTTCTTCTATCACCTCTCCATTTGAATCATTCCTATTATCCCAAAGTGTGCTGTGAGCATTAAAATCTCCACAACAAATAACCTTATCATTTATATTTTCACTTAATTCACCAATTTCCTCTAAACAAAGTTTTTTAAAAGGATTATAGAAATTTAATATTTTAATAATTCCATTTTTAATCTAAATTTCTACAGCTATCCATTCTAATTTTTTTTCCCTTTTCCTATAAATCTATATTGAATTCCCTGTTTTATACATCCACCCCATTTCCCTGTTCCCTGTCCCTTCGTACACTATCATTTACTTTTATCACAAAATCTAATGCTGTTTTTAAGCCACAGATAATATCGGGTTTATTTTTCAAATAATTCATAGAACATTTAAACTCTGGTCCATTGCTTATTAAGCTCCTAGCATTTCATTGGAGGAGAATCATTTTCTCCCTCCCCCTGTTTTACCGTCAGTCTCAAGCTTTTTGTTTATTAATTCCCAAGAAAGATCCTTTGCAGACAAGAATTTTTTGCCCCTTTCACGATAATTTTGTTTTTTTCTGTTTTTTGTTTCACCTGGTCAGTACCGTTAATAACAGAAGCCTTTCATTTGATGGCCTTGTCTTGGCAAACAACTTTTCGGTGCATTACTGCTACCAACCGGTGAGGAGTGTGGATCAGAATGGCCCTATTCATAAATAATAATAATAATAATAATAACAATAATAATAATAATAATAATAATAATACATTTTATTTGAAAGCGCCTTATCAAAACACCCAAGGACACTGTACAGACAGATAAAGATTTATTTATCAATATATCTATAATATTACTTTACAAATACTAAATCTTCCTAATTATTTCTGTTATTATTAAATATTTAAAGAAATATTGATAACATTTTTTTGACTTTTTCTGCAGAATATCCATCCATTCATTATCTGACACGCTTGTGCCAATCGGAGTTTCCTGTGTCTATGTCCAGCTGTCTACGGGTGAGAGGCGGGGTCCACCCTGAACAGGGCGCCAGTCCATCGCAGGGCTCTTTCTTCTTCATACTTCTTACAAAACATCACTACATGTTCTACTGTCTTGTCCACAAAGTTGACATTTGCCTGACATGTTTTTCTATTTTGAATAATGTATTATTTAATCCTGTATGCCCAAATCCATGTCTTGAAATAACTGCTTCCTCTCCTCTGCTCTCCTCATTTCTACGACTTTCTGTTGAATCCTATAAAACCTTCTTCCTCTCCTTTCTTCTTGCTATTCTTTTTACCACCTTTCCTTCATCCTTTGTTTGATGATACTTTTAATTTCTGTCTTACTTAACTTAATCATCATATCAATGGTTTTAGCAATTTTGTCTGCAATTTCCTTTCCATTAATCCCTATAAGTGCTGGCACCCAAATAAATATAACACTAACACCCATCATTTGAACTTGATAGAAAACTTGCTGTATTTCAATTAAAATGTCTGATCTACTTTCCAAACTATGATTTTGTATACTGATTAAAGCTGAACTCGAATCTGAACATATAATTGATCTTAACGGTCTCACTTCCTCTATCCATTGTAATGCTAATAATATTGCTAATAATTCTCCTGTATATACTGATAATTCATT